CAAGGCAGTCAAGCAGGCAGTCAGGCAGAAGAAAGTTCCCTCTTGCTCAGACATCTTGTTCTATTCAGGCCCTCAACCAATTGGACGAGGCCCACTCACGTTGGGGAGGGCAATCAGTCCATCTACCCATCCAAATGTTCATTTCATCCAGAAACACTCTCACAGACACACCAAGGGTCATGCTTGACCAAATATAGCTGGGTACTCTCTGACCCAGCCAAGTTGACACATAAAATTAACCATCACAACTCTCCAAGACTGATTTACTCATCTGTAAGACGGGGTAATAATGGCCTCTACCTCCTCGGAAGGATGGAAAGGTTAAATGAAATAATACATGTGGAGTACTTAGCAGAGTGCCTGGTCCATAGTATACCTTCTTCCGTCCAGGTTCTCCATTGTTATCTCTGGTGGGCCCACAACAGTCACAGTCATGTGTTGTCACCACCTAGACAGTGAGCTTCTTGAGGGCAGGAATCAGCCCAAGCCCGCACTGGGACTGCAACAAGTGTTCACTGAAGTAGTGAACAAACAATCGTGTAATTATCACGTAGCAGGAACATTTCATTATGAAGTTTCATTGCCCATTTCCTCAAAACGTGAAACATAGCGGGGCACCTAGATGGCTCAATCAGTTGAATATCCAGCTCTTGATTTCAGCTCAGGTCATGATCGCGGGGTTGTGGGACTGAACCCCATGTGCGGGGCTCCACCCTGATTGAGATTCTCTGTCTCCCTCTCTCCCCTGCTTGCTCTCTCTCTCTCTCTCTCTCTCTCTCTTTCTCTCTAAAATAAAATTTAAAAAAAGGTGAACATAGAATTACCATATGACCCAGCAATTCTACTCCTAGGAATATACCCAAGGGAACTGAAGGCAGAGACTCAGACACTTGCACGCCTGTGTTCATAGCCACACTATTCACGGTAGTCAAAAGGAAGAAACAGCCCAAGTGTCCATCAATAGATGAATGGATTTTTAAAAAGTAGGGGCGCCTGGGTGGCGCAGTCGGTTAAGCGTCCGACTTCAACCAGGTCACGATCTCGCGGTCCGTGAGTTCGAGCCCCGCGTCAGGCTCTGGGCTGATGGCTCGGAGCCTGGAGCCTGTTTCCGATTCTGTGTCTCCCTCTCTCTGCCCCTCCCCCGTTCATGCTCTGTCTCTCTCTGTCCCAAAAATAAATAAACGATAAAAAAAATATATATAAAAAGTAGATCCCCAGGGTAGAATGCGATTGAGTCATAAAAAGGAGTAAAGCTCTGATTCACGTTACAACATGGGTAGACCTTGAAACCATCATGCTGGGTGAAGGAAGCCAGGCACGAAGGGTCACGTAGTGTAAGGTTCCATTTCTATGAAACGTCCGGGACAGGCAAATCCACTAAAGCAGATTAGCGGTGTCCAGAGGCTGGGGGGAGGGGGCGTGGGGAGTGATCGCTTCATGGGTTTTATCTTGGGATGCTGGAAATGTTTTGGAACTACACAGAGGTGGTGGTTGCACCACCTCGTGCATATACTAAGTTGCCCCGCACCGTATACTTTAAGAGGGTGCATTTCGTGTTGTCCCAAGTACATCCCGGTTAACAAAATGCGTTGCCGGAAAAAGGTGCAAAGTCCTCTCGCTGGATCAGACACTACAATAGCAATTCTGAAGGGCAGATGCTCTGGTGCCTACCCTGTACGAATGAGTTTCAACCACGAACATCTCAGCTGTCATTTAGTGGACAGAGGTATGTTTTCTATGGAGGCTGCTTGTAAACTAGCAAACTCAGCTCAGGATTTCCACAAAGCTCAGACCAAAGGAGCCAAACCTTAAAAAGATTTGCTCGAACCCTGGTTCTGAATGTTCCTGCAGCCCTTTTTTATATATCACTCTGCTTATAACTCTTCGGTGCAGTTGCATTTTCCTCCTAAGAGCATCCACGCCACCCATGAACTCTGAGCACCTACATCCGCCAGGGACTGTTCTAGATGCTGTTTCGTGAAGAAGACAAAGTCCCTGTCCTGATGGGTTTTACTGTCTAGTAACTGAACACGCAGGCCTACCTCGTGTTGTTGGGATTCATTTTACTGCACTTCACAGGTATCGTGTTTTTTACAACTTGAAAGTTTGGGGAGTCCCCCCCCCCCCCACGGAACAAGCCTGTTGGCGTCATTTTTCCGACAGCATTTGCTCACTTCGTGTCTTTGTGTCACATTTTGATCATTTTCACAGTATTTCAAACTTTTTCATTGTTATTACATCTGTTATGTTGATCTGTGATCAGTGATCATGAGCTGCTGAAAGCTCAGGGGACGATTAGCATTTTTTAGCAATAAAGTATTTTTTACTTAAGGTAAAAAATGTGCCTTTACTTAAGGCACACTTTTTATGTTGATTGATTGGTTGGCTTTTTTTTTAATGTTTATTTATTTTTGAGAGAGAGAGAGAGAGAGAGAGAGAGTCAGAGTGTGAGCGGGGGAGGGACAGAGAGAGAAGGAGACACAGAACCTGAAGCAGGCTCTAGGCTCTGAGCTGTCAGCACAGAGCCCAACGCGGGGCTCGAACCCACGGACCGCGAGATCATGACCTGAGCTGAAGTCAGATGCTTAACTGACTGAGCCACCCGGGCGCCCTTAAAGTTTTTATTTTAATGCCAGTTAGTTAACATACAGCGTTATATTCGTTTTAGGTGGACACGATAGTGATTCGACAATTCCACACATCAGCCGGTGGTCATGGGTTAAATAGGTGATGGAGATTAAGGAGTGCACTTGCGGTGAGCACTGGGTGACGTGAGGCTTGTACATTTTTTAGACATGCTGCTATTGCACACTTCATAGACTACAGTATAGTGTAAGCAAAACTTTTATAGGTACTGGGAAACCAAAAAGTTTATTTGAATAGCTTTACCATGCTATTCACTTTACTACTGGGGTCTGGAACCAAACCTGCAATCTCTGAGGTGCGTCCATACCACAAATCCCCCGGGAAACCGGGTGAAATGCAGATTTGGACTCATGCCCCAAGAGTCTGCATTCCAAACAGGCTGCCAGGTGATGCTGATGCCGCTGGTCCGAGGACCACGCTCTAAGTACAAGGATGTGGGGATTCGCATAAAAATAGCCTTCCAAGTCCGCCTATATTACGATCTTGTTACACCTATATTTATAAAATTCCACCGCAGCCCTTCATTCTTTTCACCCTCTGTCTCATGTCTTTGCTTCACTTCGTAGATGAATTTCTTGATTTAAAAAGGCCAGTTAGAACGAATGTCTTTTCTTTTCCTCTTCTTTTTGTTTTTCGGTTTTTGTTTTGTTTTGTTTTGTTTGTTCATTTTTTTTTTCATTTTTTTTTTAACATTTTATTTATTTTTGAGACAGAGACAGAGCATGAACAGGGGAGGGTCAGAGAGAGGGAGACACAGAATCTGAAACAGGCCCCAGGCTCTGAGCTGTCAGCACAGAGCCCGACGCGGGGCTCGAACTCACAGACCGTGAGATCATGACCTGAGCCGAAGTCGGCCGCTTAACCGACTGAGCCACCCAGGCGCCCCTTGTTTGTTTGTTTTTGCACAAGGAAAGAAACTGCTAGAAGTCATATTCCCATAGGGCTTTTTTTTTTTTTTTTGACAGCTTATTTATTTATTTGTTTTGAGAGGGTGGGGGGAAGGAGCCGAGAGAGAGACTCCCAAGCAGGCTCCTCACTGTCAGTGCAGAGCCTGATGGGGGGGCTTGAACCCACAAACCTTGAGATCACGACCTGAGCAGAAGTGGGAAGTTTAACCAACTGGGAACCCAGGTGCCCCTAGAACATCTTTTGAGCTATAACAACTTCGCTCTTCCTCAGCTTTGGCACCACTGACATCTGGGCCTGAGTCATTCTTTACCACGGTGTGGGGGAGGGCTGTCCTGTGCCTTCAAGGGTGTTCAGTGGCTTCTCTGGCCCCCACCCACTGAGCATCCCTCGGTGGTGACAATCCAGATGTCTCTAGACATCACCAAATGTCGCTGGGAGGCCAAAATCGCCCTACTGGAGCACCACTGTTTTATTCCTCGCAAGCTTACCACTCCCCTGATGGTAAAAGATGTTCATAATAACTATCCTCATCTGGGCACAGACACTGTTCTTCGAAGGTGGCATCTCTTATTCATTTAATCTTCCCCAAAACTCTAGGGCATTCTTTTACTGTCCCCATCCTTATAGGAGGAGACCAAGGCACAGAGCAATCGAGTTATTTTTCCAAGTTCATGCAGCTGGTCAGTGGCAGAGACAAGATTCAAACCGGGTCCTCTGGCTCCAGAACCTGCTTTCTCGTGCTTTCTACTTTCCCTCAGGGTGTGGGATCTATCAGATTGGATTTTTTTTTTTTCTTATTCTTTGTGTCTCCAAAGCTGCAACGTGTTGTTGAGAAATTCGAGTCACTTGTCACTAATGACACTCCCTGGGCAATGGGAGAGAAGAGAGAAGTCGCATCTTGGGCCACAACTCTTCTCCAGACTGTAGAATCGAGCGTTCTAGAAACTGCCTTGAAATCCCCAGAGCAAAAAAACCAGAAAATTCACAACAGTACTGTGGGTAAGAAGAGGAGCTGGCCTGATACACACGGGGGCTATTACAAGCTGGAGTCTGGGTTACACAGTTAGAAAAGTAAATAAACACACTGCCTGAGTCCATTTATATAGAATTCTAGAAAGTACAATCTAACCTATAGTGACAGGAGAAGGGGGAGACAGGAGTAAAAGAGCATGAGACAATTTAAGGAGACTGTTGGGAATGAGAGGCACGTTCAGTACCTTGATTGTGGTGTTAGTATCACAGGTGCGTACCATATACACACAGCTGTATACACACTCTATGAAACTCATCAAATTGTACACTGTTTTATATGCAATTTGTTGCACATTAATCACACCTCCATAGAACTTTTAGGAAACGAAGGGAAAGGGAAGGGAAGGGAGGAAGGAAAAGAGAAAAGAGAGAAAAGAAAAGAAAAGAAAAGAAAAGGAAGGGAAGGAAGAAAA